AAGCTATAATTCACATTTTACCTTAAAACTACCACTACTTTCTCCTTTACAAGATTATATACCATATATATACATCATATAACACCTAACCCACAAGGAATATAAGTGAATAAATCAAAACCCTAACTCAATATTCCTCCCTCCAATCATCAAAACCATTTGAAACAAGCATCACAAACACAACTCTAACATTAATACCCAACTTAATCATGATTAATGGAGAAAGAAAGAGTGATCAGCCATTATACCTCAAGACAAGACCTTGCAAGAGTGATCCTCCACTACTCCTTGAAATTTTTGGTTCCTTAAGCTTCCCAAGCTTCCAAACTAATGATTAACCGGTTTAGTTTTTCTTGTTTGCACTCAAAAGATTGGATTCAAGGTTAAAAATTGAAAAACTCTCCTCACTCTCTTCCCTCTCCTTGCTCTTGGCCAAACCAGAAAAAAAATGAGGGAAAATGAAGCAAAATGGATGATAAGAAGGTAGGACTTTGGCTTGGTCAAGGAACCATAGGTGGCCAACACTTGTCACCACCAAAACCAACTAAAATTTTGTTTTCTTTTCCTTGCATTTTGGGTCAAATATTTCGGCTATAAGGGCTGAGGATGAGGGAGATATTTTGCAACAAACTTATGATTCACTAATTTATGATTCTTACTTTTAATCACACACTTTATATCATCTAAAACTCACTTTTAATCACCAAATTTGATCCACACTTCGTACCGGATCGTCGCACTATGGATAGGCGTAAAACCCTTACTTCTATATTCATTTGCACTTATTGTGGGGTGATTGGGTAGTAAGGCTATTATAAAGTAATAATTTCCAAATAAAAGGAATTTTAAGAAAATGTGCGGTATTTTACAAGTCCATTAAAAGTAGGGTTTCAATTAAAACATGAGAGATTTAAGAAAACCGATTGGTCACAAGTAACTAGGGTTTTTTTTTCTTTTGATTAGAATTTAGGGTTTCTAATCTTTAAAACAAAACAATGTCTTAAAACAAAAAATAAAATATAGAAACCGTAATATCCTAAAAGTCGGGGTATCACATATTTGGTTAGTTGAAGTAGGCTCTATGAACTCCCACCTTGGTTAAATAAGGGCTGTCATGATATTTATGTGTGTGTTAGTATGTTTGTGATGAGTTTTAATGGAAGAAAGTAGAAGAGGAGAAAGAAAGAGAGAAACCGTGAGGAAGAGGTGCTGTCCGAAATTCTATTCTTGTTTGGTCAGTAGTTATTTTGAAATTTTTGATGTTTGTTGGCTGTGAAATTGGTTGTTGTATATGGTATATTGTGTGTACAAAGTGTCGTCCAAAAATCACTTCATTTGGTTGAACAAAACTTGGAATTTCGAAATTGAAAGGAACCTAGAAATTGTAAACAGAATGCCCAAATAGTGCATCTTTGATTGAACATAACTCTCTGTACGGAAATCGAAATTGAGTGTTGTCAGTGAAATTCAAAACTAGACATCCGTAGCTTTCTAACGGTGTAAAAATCACTTTCTAGTTCAAACTGAGTAAACAGTAGTGAATAGATAAAGTCGGCTGTTCTGTTCTGCCTGTCCCATTCGAATGGACATGAGAAGTTGCAACTTGTGACTTAAATTTGAACTACTTGTGAACTGATTTTGGAAATGTTTTGTTCTGATGAAATGTAGCTTTTGGAACCTAGTTTCCAACGCCATCAACCATTCTCAATTTTAGGTTGTATTGAGTGAGATATGGTTCAATTTCCAAACTGTGACAGAGCTGGAAAACTGGAAAACCTTTCCTTCTTGCTGGCCGACTGGTCTAGTTTGTTGTGGGATGTTTTATTTCAAAAATTTTGATGTCAATCAACCATCAATTACTTTTTGAATGTTTAAAGGACCTTGGTTCCAAAAATGAACCAAATTGGAACTGATTTCATTGTGCCAAATATTTGGAAAGAAAGAAAAGGGTGAGATGGCAGATTTACTTTGGGAATTTCACGAACTTTGATTATTTTGTTAACTGCCTTCCCACATGATTTTTTCCATGAACTTTGGTAGAGATGTAGTTCACATATGGAAGATTAAATGTACCAAATTTGATGTATTTTCAATGCCATTTCGATGGCCAAATGGTACCTCAAAAATGCCTTCTCAAATCTGGAAAATGACTGGACAGGTCATGAAAGTCGACCAACTTTGGACTGATGTATATCGATATTCAAAACTCTGAATTTAGTTTTGTTTATTGTGTTTGAAACCTTGATTGTAACTTATATTGTGTTACAAATTTCAAAGCATGATTCGCTTTCTGTGAATTATGCCGAGTTTCTAAATATTCACTACAAGAAATTTGGTCATTAGTGACAACATTTCTCAGCGACGAAAAAAAATTGTCACAGAATGGGGTCCTTTAACCACAATACAAAAAGTTGTCACAATTGAGTCAAGGGAGCCAACACATCAGTGACGACCTTGCATTGTCGTCACAATTCGATTCCCGCCAGGAGCCATGGAGAAAGCGAGAACTGCAACAGTGACAACTTTCTAAAAGTTGTCAGTATTAATAGCACTTTCTTTGACAACTTTGCAATTGTTGTCACTGATAATATTGTATAGCCGTTAGTGACAACCTAGTCTTGTCACTGTTTGATTTAAAATATTTATTGCTTTTTGCAACTATTACTCCTAATTTTTTGTAATCATTATGTGTTCTCTAATGGTTTTTAACTGTTATATACTTATGAGCCTCTTTATTAGTTTAATTTTCTTGTATATGTAATAATTTCATTAGAATAAAAATAATTAAAAAATAAAAAATTCATTAGTGTAAATAAACTTATGACTACTTAACTTAGAATGATTATTAGTTAATTTGATATGAATATAAATAAGAGTTTTCAAATTGAACTAGCTATCGTAGTGGATAAATCCTAAGCTCCATACTTAATTACCTAATACACTTTATGTATTAGTTTAATTGTGCATTTTTTTCTTATTTGAAGATAATGGATTAATAGTGAAGTTTTGTATTGGATGTTAATTGAATGTGTGTTATTTAAAATGTACTTTGTTAATTGAATATGCTCTATTTAAAATTTCTACCAATTACAATTTTGACACAGTATGGTTAATAATTTTTGAGACAGTATGGTTAACAACAAATGGTTAATAATACATTAGTAAATTATTTTCAAAAAATTTAATATGTTAGTAAATTCAAATAAAAGTTAAAGTTACAAAATTGATTCAATTAACTAGTACCGAAATTTTGTGACGACAAAATAATAAAAAAGTTGGCGGGGACTCTTTTGTTGAAAATTGGGAGAAATAAACACTCTTTTAACTCATAGTACTCTCCAGAGAGATACAAGCCACCGTTCCTTTTCCCAAACTCCCCACTCTGACTCTTCACTTTTCTATCTCGCATCCCTCAAAGAAGAGAAAACACTCTCCATTTTCCTTAAACTCTCGGCCAAATATGGATTCCCCAAGCTGAAATCGATTCATTCTCCCCTAACTCTAAGGTAAGTCCTCTCATATCTCTCCTTGTTTTTCTTCTTTTTCCCCCAATTACGTTGCCCTAATTTTTTTTCTTTTAGATTGTTTGAGTTGTGGGTTCAATAATCTCATAGAAAAATTTAAGTTGTGGGTGCAATAATCTCCTTCTCCGTTGCATTAGTTCTTCCATGTATTAGAGCTTCCATCCTCAATTCTCTGGATTACCGAAAAGCCCATAGACAATAAGAACTTAAAAAAATACAAGAGTGGGATTAATTAGGACTGTTTTTCATTCATGTTAGGTATGGTTTTTGGGGTATATTTAGCCCAAAACTACAACGTCCCCAATGTTCTAAAGCTCCGGAATAATAGTTTGGTAATTATCAACCACATTGAAGAAAATTACCGTAAGCCCAAGAATCGACACATTGGTGAGTAGTTGGCCAGCATTTCTGGCGTTATGTTTAGTCCACCAGGTGTTTGATTTGAGTTTGTTTTCTGTTTAGGGGATACCTTTTGGGAGGATTTTTTTGATATAGAGAGAAAGGTGTTTTGCAGGTCTGGGGTTTATAAAATTTAGTGGAAGGATTACGAATTTAGTTATAGATGTTGGAAGAGGGAAATAAGAGAATTTTAAAGAATAAGACACTTCAAATTTTGCAAGTAGAAATGTCCCCAAAGATGGTCAAATGTTTTGTTCAAGTATTCTGCAATCTGTTCAGCATCTTATATGGCCTATTTTGTCTCATTTAATCCTGTTACTGTCTTACTGTTGTATTTTTTGCTTGTTAAAAAGTCATCTTTGGAGCATGGATTACTTTTGATTAGCTAAAATGATCTCTAGAACATAGTCATCCCTGGTTGTTAAAAATCATTTACCACTAATTAACTGAAACACAGATTACGCTTGACTATGCTTGATTGTAACGACTATGCTTGACTATCCTTTAACTTTTGAGCAATAATGTTCTATTTAAATTCATAGTTTCAGGCCTTATTAGATCCATCTACATATGTACAATTTGATGTGAATTAGATGCCAAAACCTTAAATTGTTTGTACTATGATTTGTATTTTTTTTTTTTGCTATGCTTGAAGCTGCTGACATGGGTGCAGTGTCTCGGTAGGAGGTTATCATTTAGCTGCTTATACTGATTATGTCTTTGTATACATGGCTAGAATATATGGGTTCATGCTGCATCAGCTAGTCAAAAAATTGCTGCAACATCAAGGGATGGATTGGCATCTCCTACATCTGTTGAGATGCAAACATATGAGCCTCCCACTGCAGCAGGTTGTATCTAACCAGTCCGTTGGTGGAAATAATACACCTAATGAGAACAAGGATCTTCATGACAATGGAAATGGTTTGTAAGATCTACTTGTAACTGCATTACAACTTAATATATCTCATGTCATGTTTCATTATTTATATTAATAATCTTCTAAATATGTTTTGGTTAGACCATGTGAACTTAAGTAGGAAGAGAGGTCATACTCATAACATTGCATTGTTTAAGGAAAAAAGGGCTGGAAAGAAAGTAAAAGTTAACATCTCAGAATTGAGTGGAAGAATAATTGGAGAAGGTGCTCAAAAGTTTATCTCAAAGGTGCTCGAAAGTTTATCTCAGAGAAACAATGCTGAAACTCACTAATGTAAGTTAACTTCATAGGAGAGACACAATTTTCCACTTGACTTATCAAGTTGTATCATTTTTACTGATTTTGGTATGATCGAACTTCATATTTCAGAATAGTTTCACTCATGATGAACGTCAACATATTAAGTCAGCATTGCTTAAGCAACTAAATTCACAATACCAAAGTCGGCATTATACATTTGATAAGATCTTCAAACAATCTGGGACAATGGAGGAAGCACTGGCAAATCATCTTGCATATGTGGTAGAAAATGATTGGAGTTTCCTTTGTCACTACTTTTGCAGTCCTGAATTTAAGGTAAATGGCCTGATTGTTTTTCAATTACTGTTTCTTAATACTATACATGCTATATTTTGTTGAATTTGATTACTCCTTTCACTTCTTTAATGTAGGCAATGAGTGAGAGGAATAAGATTAATAGAATTGTTGTACCTTAATTTTATTGATCAGAGATAACATATTGTACTTATGCTTCTTCTTGATGCTTAGTGTGAAAGCTTGTAAGCTGTAATAATCCCAAATCTTGGTACATGAATGAAACAATTTATTATTTTTCTATTTGTCCTTGCTAAGGAATTTTCAATTATTGTGTTGTTTTTGGGGTAATTTTATACTCCTTTCTATCTATGCTATACTTGTTTCAAACGGTTGGGTCTTGTCAACAAAGTTTCTATAAAAGTGACAATTTTCAGTTTGTTCTTGGAGACATTTGCATATAAACAAGCTACAAGCGGTCTCTAAGCTAACTGGTAGAAAAGAAATTGGTCTTATCATCAGTGACGATTAAATAAATGAGGTACACATTGCCTCAGTTTCTCCTATATGAATGGGTAGCTCGACACCTTGTATCGTGATTGACATTACTTTGGTTATCATACTTGACACATTGTATCCTCTGCTTTGCATTACTTTGGATTGGTTTGATTTAGTTTAGTTTAATTTATTTGAATGTTTATCTAAGCAAGCGAATCAAAGTTGCTTTTCCTTTAGTGTTGGGCTTGTAGTCTTATCAACTGGTTATATTGTTCATAGCAGTACTTATAGCAGTTCTTGTTGCCTTATCAACTTGTTATATTATTCCTTTGAAGTTGAAGTTTAATAGCAGTACTTATTTCTTGAGCTGATTTTGTGCAATAGTTCGGGTTGATTTTGGTTTTTTTTTGGGCTGATTTTGAACGTACAGCTTTAATTATTGAGGTTCTTATTGGATTGCATATTTTAGCTAAGCAACCTAAGTATTGTTACTTCTCCTTCAATGTTTTAATCCTCCCCTTATCTACTTGTTTTACTACTTTATTACAGATAAATGCTCTTTAAACAAAATTTTGGGAGCTGTCTATAGCAATGACTGAAGAACGTTGAAGACAAAGTCGCAATTTGCTCATGCAAGGGTTTGCTTGGATGTTCTTTGGTTTCTTGAACTTAATTCCTTTTGTAAACGTACCTTATGAATATGTGATACTTGGGCACAATGTTACTTTTGTAGACCTTTGTTGGGTAATGCGCACCTCAATATGACATTTGAGTACTTAATATGCTATATTGGCATGTAGCCTAATGCAACAACTACTTTTGATTATCAATTGTTTAGATTACTTCTTTCTATTTATTTTAGATAAATAATTTACCATGCTAAATTGTGAGTTTATTGAAATGGAGCCGACAATGTTGAAGATCACCAATGACAAAAAAGAGCTGTTACAGAACAAGAATAAAAAAACTCTTTGTGACAACAAAGCATGTCACTAACTCCAAACTTCAATTGTGACAACAAATGTTGTCAATAAGTAGATCATATAAGTGACAAATTCTGACACTTTTTAGTGACAACCCTGATCAATACATCTCTGACAACACGCTAAGTCGTTAATAAAACTCTTTCATATTGTTGTCACTAATGACAACCATTCACTGACGACTTTTTGTGTTGTCACTATACACTTTTACCGACGGAGATATAGTGACGACTCTATGACGACTCAAAAGTTGTCAATAAAAGTCATTAGTGACGACATTTCTATGTCTTGTGATGACATGTTGTTGTCACTCATGACCAAATTTCTTGTAGTGATTACCGAAAACCAAGACTGATCCTATCTTACTTGTTTAAATCAGCAACTTTGAGATGAAAAGTGGATGCTTTCTATTTAGAATCTTAGAAAAATATCTTCTAGGAACTTTTACTACTTTGGATCTAGTTTCCAGCGGTACAAAGTTTTTCATTTTTGGACTTATGGGACTCAAGATACGATTTTTCAAAGTAGTGTCACTCTAAACTGGAAAAATTTCTGTTTTCAACCAAATTACTCCTTTAAGAACTTTCCTCCTTCCTTTGTGAATGTTGGACTGTTTTAAGTTTGTTTTCATGGTTTAATGCAAGGCTGTTTGGAACTTTGAACTTTCATCTCCAATCTTGGTTTCCGAAGGTTAAACCTCTCTTGATGCATTTATTTGGTCATATAACTCCCTTGGTTAATGGTACTTTTCTTCGTACTCAAATTAGGGACTTCAACCCCTATTCTTATGGCCTTGATAATTGTACTAGAGTTGGCAATCATACAAGTATTTTAAAAGAATGATTTGAAAGGTTTCTTGTGAACGTAATTAGTAATATTCAGAATGTTTTGGCCGAGCTTCCAAGTAAAAATGTGTTTATCTTCCTTATTTGAAAACCAAAGCTTCTATCACCATAGTCTCTTGAGTATACGCCCTTGATTTAATCATTGAAAATGGACGTTGAGTGAGGCTTTTATTAAAAGAGAACTTGAGAATTTTACTCGATTTACGGGTACAACTTAAATTGGTGGCTAAAGAAGCTAGTGAGCCGTTGGTTGCAGTTTTACTAGATTTTAACTGAATGAGTTTGAAAATTGAGAAAGCTCACTTATATTTGAAACTTGGGCATTCAACTAGGGAATTTTGACAAGAAACTAATCCTCCATCTTTCTTGATTTTCGTGCCAAAACTTAGAGATCTGTTTAATCTTCAATTTGGAGAATTTTGGACATGACTTGAGTCGGATTAATGTATTCTTAGATATTTTCAAATGCTACCCTTATGGATTAAGTTATTAAGTGATATTTGTATTCGATTTGAACACGTTATCTCTTAAATGAGAGTAGCGGGAATACTACTAGACCTTGGTTAATTGCCTAGGTGATTTGTAATTGTACATGTCTCAGGTGACCAAGAGGATCCCGAGGAACCCGTTTGATCTTGCCTCGCTCTTGCTTTACACTTTTGATTTGGTGAGTGTTCCTTGTAGGTGTTTGTGACTTGAATAGTTTTGTTACGTGTTTACCGCATATTTCTTGTGTGTTTAAGTGTTAATTGTTCCCTATAATTGCTCCTTTGAAATTTTTCACCGTTTTAAGGCGAGTGTGTACTTTATCTCACTCGACCTACTAAAATAACAAATTTTAACCGTTTAACCGTGAATTTCTACCATTTACCGGTATATTTGATTACTTGCGCATGTTGTAAACTCTTAGCTGAACTGGACGCTGCCCTTAGTTACTAACCTGCTCGAGCCAGGATTGGGTTTGATCGAGTTGGTTGGAACCCTGGGCCACCGTATCGGTATACTCGAGTATTACCACTGGAGGGATAAGGCGATGGCCAGACCAACCGAGGGAAATATTGGATTTATAAGGTGCGGTTGACCGAAACAGTTCCACATGAACATCGTATCCTTTTAATGTGTATTTATTTCTGTAAAATGATAAGTGTCTCATTTTAAATGTGCCAATATGATACCTTGAACCGTATGTGCGCTATGCTCAATTTACTTGATTTATTAGAACTGCTAGTGTGTTTTGGAACCTCACTGAGCTATTTAGCTCATTCCATGCTTTTGTTTTCCTTAACAGGGTTCAGGACCGAGAGTGCTCACGAATAGTTCTAAGTTATTTTCTTTTGGAGACATCAACTTGTATTATAGCGATGACTGTTGTACATATTCTTTTGGGTTGTATTTAAGCTTGAAAGTTAACTACTGGTAAGTATGAAATGTTTTGGAGTACTTTAAATGTTATTAAAAATATTTGAAGTATTTCCAATTTTTGAATTGTGGATTGTAGTGAGTCTCGGCGAGAGTTGGGCAAGCATTCATCGGATACCCTTGGGTTCGCCCTTGGGAGAAGTGGGGGCGTCACATAAAAGAGTTGCAAAGCAAAAGCATTCAACTATTACATAAGTAGCTTCAAATCAGGTGAAGAGCTTGTCAACTCTGAACAACAAGGTGTGTACTATCAATGTCATACCTATATTAGCCGCTGAACTTGTTACATATGTCTAACCATGACAATTTATTACTACAACTTTTGAATAACATGAAAACTCAAAAGAATTTGTCTCAATGGGAAAATACTATACATACAAATTTCAAATGAGGAAGAAATACAGTCCAAATATTCTCAATAGTGGTTGCTTATTACAACAGTTCGCAGTTGATATGTATTTCAAGCTTGAAGCACAAAGGCTTGACTTTTATAGGAGTAAATAGCTATTGATTAGATGAGAACAGCTCTAAGGCCTAATGGACTGTGTTATTCAAGGGTAGCCTCGAGGATCTCAAGTAGAACAATGAATCCCTCTACCAGTATCATTCATAGGAGGTCCCCGAGATATGAAGAAAAAATATGTTGAGGCAATGGCTTTCCTCCAAAGGTATGGAAGGCCAGATTTATTTCTATCTATGACATGCAATCCTTCATGACTAGAAAATAAATTATGGTTCCCACTAATGAAGCTTCGAATAAACTTGTGTGCTTGAGTCTTCCACACAAAATTGGAATTGCTCAACGAAGAATTGTTCAAAACAGATTTTTGGTGAAGTAGAAGCATACATGTTTGTCATCGAATTCCAGAAACATGGTTTGTCGCATGCTGACTTCCTCATTGTTTGTGCCAAATTACCTAATGAAAAAACAAATAAGCACTTATTCAATATGGTATACAACCACATGATGCACGGACCTTGTGGTAGATTAAAGCCAAATAATGTTTGCATGCAAGGACGAGTACTTAAATTATGCAAGAATAAATATCCAAAACAATGGGTAGAGGAAACTACTCATGGGGAAAACGCATATCCGACATATAGGCGAAGAAAAGATGGCAAAGTTGTAATCGTCAGAGGCAAAGAACTCGACAACAGATGGGTTGTTCCATATAATCGCACCTTCTCGCTAAGTTCAACTGCCACATCAATATAGAGGTATGCTCAACTATCAAAGTTGTTAAGTACATGTATAAATACATTTTTAAAGGTCATGACAAAGTGCATTTTCAGGTAAATTTAGGAACGATGCCTTGTTGAAGTAGGAGATGATGACATGGATCGCACACCAATCGCTCACGTCTGTCCCAGGCCTGCTAGACATGGAGTTATCTCCAGTATTAGTAAAAGTGTGTAGAGAGCCTTAAAGGCTTTTAGACCACTCCAGGTTGTTCAAGAGCCTTAAGGAATAGTCTAGAAATTGTACATAAGAGTCTTGCTTTGTATAGAAGATTCTAGAGACTAAACATAAGAAGATTTAGTGTAGAACTTTCTAGAGTCTTGTAAAGCTTTCTTGGCTCACCTATAAATAGGCTGAGCCCCCTTATTTGAAAATCATCTTGTAGAAGTGTTTCAAGTGTAATACAAGATTTTCTTAACCTCCAACGTTTTTCATCTTTACTCACTACTTTTAGCTTTCACACAATTTCACGCACTTAGAGGTTAGGCTAAACTAGCAAACCGTTCATAGTTCAAGTCTTCAAAAATTGCTAGTGCCACATGGCATGTGTGCTTATAAAATATTAAGCAACTCGTAACAAAATGTTGAAGAAGTCACAGAATTCCAATCTGCAAGATGGGTTTCTAGAATTGAATCGATATGGTTTATATACAGATTCTCTTTAATGAGATGCATCCCTCAGTTATGAACTTATAGCTGCATCTTCCAAATTTTCAATCTATGACTTGCAAAGACAGTGATGATATCAGAGATATTCTCAAAAATACGTTGTGGAAAAAAACTATGTTAACATAGTTTTTCCACATGAACACAGTTGACTCACTTGCCAAAAATTTGAAATGCACATATAAAAAATTTCCAGAGTACTTTGTTGGGCATTCGAATGAAAGATATTAGTCACCAAGAAAGTAAAAATACTCCATTGGAAGAATCATCACAACCAATCCAACTAAAGGAGAATACTACTTCTTGTGACTTCTATTATCAAGTGTTCGAGGGCAATTATCTTTTGACGACCTCAAAAAGTTCAATGACAGATATGCAACAACTTTTCAAGAAGCAGCAATAATGAGAGGATACTTTGAATCTAATAATGCCCAAGAACATTGCCTTCAAGCTACTCTCTACCACATGCCTCATAGCTTTATGAGGCTTTTCATTACTCTTTTGGTCTACTTTCCACTAGCAAATCCAAAAGATCTGTGGTTAAAATTTCAAAGTTCCTGATGAGAACATGAAGATTTGGATCCCTTTCAAGTTCAAGGAAATTTGTTTGATGGTTGATGGTGCAATTGGGCTCAAGAATCATTGAAGATT